CTGTGCGTTGTCGAGAAAAAGGTTGGCTCAGCGCCAAGCGCGACCGCGGACACGCCATATCATTGGCAGCGAACCAGAGTTTGAGTTGTACTGTTTAGTCACCAACGGACTTACGAGATAATGTCGACTTATTAATATTTGCAGTTATTTCGGATTAGTTTGATGAATGAAAGTTTTGTACTATTTTTTTGCATATCCGAGTTCTCTACAAAGCAAGTTTCGTTGTACAGGACTCAGCACATTGACAATTTGCGCTGCTCGTTACTGGCTGCCGCATCCTACGACCCCCCTCTTCTGGCGACCCCCCTGATTGCGGATTCACCAACCACGATGTGCCACTGGTGATCACCAGGCTATCCGGACTGATAAAGGGATATAGTCTGGTAGTAAGTGGACTTCCGTTCATACGACAGTGATATTTGTGCTTTCTAATAAATGTGGAGGCAAAATTTCAAGGATAGGCTTTCTACAATTAATAATTTGCTGTTATTTAATACGAGAGCCTTCTTCTGGTAGTAAATTCAAGGGGAACTCACGTTACACCGGAATCGCAGGGATCCGTAGCGTGTCCGGAACACTTTCTTTAGCTCGAGTGGGTTTGGAAGCTCGTCTGTGATTAGCGAACCAATAACTCCAACTGTAAGTAGATTGAATGTACGTGCTGTACTTTCACAAGTGCAACAATTCACTCCCAATGTTTCATGTGACGACATTAAACCAATGAAGAAATTCAGAGCCGCATGAAAAAAATATACAGTTTGCAACACCGCAGTCAGACGGGGCGGTTTCAGTAAAGAACGAATGAGCCTACACGCAGCGTTCATACCACTGGTTGTGAAATCCTCTTTATCACCGATCACCATTGGTAGGTTAAGGCAGCAGAAAACGAACTCATTCCGCCTCTCCTGCCACCGCTCCGTCTGAATGCGATCTTATAAACTACACTTACTCATGAAAATTGTATAGATGTAGACGGTGAACGCCAGAATTGGCCATATAATTCGAAAATGGAAGTAGGCTAGATGCTCGTTGTTGTCATCTGCGAAGCCTTGTTTTAGTATTCGGCTCTGTTGCTTCGTCTTTGGTACCTTAATACTGCTTTTTGGAAATGATTGCGTTTTCTTTGTTCTGGATAGAGCTCTTCGAATCCGCAAAGCAACTTCCAGCGCAACCAGCGCAACAAGAAGAGTACAAAGTTATTCTGATTCGCTGAGAACTGAGTATGCACCTCGGAGTCCCCCCCCCCCCATTCGAAACTAACAATTTTCCTATAACGCGGAAAAAAACCGAAAACAGGATGCTCTACTTCTGAAAGCGCGCGAACCTCCTGGATTCATGTATCCGATTCGACGTCATCTCATTTTTTTACAGAGGTGGAAAGGTCATACCGAGAATTACCTTGAGGGGAGTCGTGTTTAGCGAAAAGTTACTACAACCTGATGGTGCGCCCGGTCTGTGACGCTGCGGGCAACACGCGTGGTAATTAGCGATGTAAGTCGTTGTCTTGTAGCAAAAAACTTTAATATCATAAAATCTCACGCATATGTGACCTCTTTATCTCGCTCTTTCGAATGACAGAACTGATACACTTTTCGCGAGTGCGCAACGACTACTAAATACACGAAAGCAGTTCCCGGTTTTCTGGATCTCGAAAATTGTCTTCAGGGGCATTTGTCACCTCTCAGTGAAAGTCCTGCCTAAGGCAGCTTTCAGACTTCGCGATGACGCGCGTTGACGCTCTGCATGACGCCGACTTGCTGCAAGGCGCCCAATTGCTGTAAACACGAATGCAGTGAATGCTGAATGCACGAATGCCCTTGAACAATCCGGCACCCTCCTATCTCTTTATACCCCAAAGCACCAGCTGCCAGTGCCGATCGATACCAGACTACGTGATTAGGCAAGGCGTACCGTCCTATTACCCCATACTCTCTCGAAGCACAAGTGGCCGGCGCCGATTGATACCTGCTTGCGGCTGCGTTCGCGTATATAGCATTAAAG